GTAAGGGCAGCGTTCTGATAACCGCGTAACCAGAGGCTACTGCTTGTTAGAATTAGTAAAATTTGACTGTTTGACTGGTTTGATTCCAATCAGACTTGACAGAGCAATGCATAAAACAGGGAGTGTTAAATGTGCCAATAAGTGAATTACTTTTCAGATTATGTTGCTCGTAGAGATATTGATAAGTGTGCTTTGCGAGCTGAATATACGTTTGCTACATTCTCTTCTCCATTGAATGGATGAACATGTTTTGAAAAAATAAAGAACAAATTTAAGTCTTCATCCCTATACTATTTAAAAACAAGTACTGTTTTAAAGAGCACAGTACATTTTTTCTAACACAACAACTTTCACTCTTCTGCTCTAAAGGTCTTAATCAGGCAAGAGCTTGGAATGAGTAGACCTATCCTCACGACAATGGAAATTCAAAACACAACTTTAGGAGATAGATTTAAGTAAAAGTAGTTGGAAATATAGCCAGATTAGGATCATTTTTGGTGTGTAGATTCTAGCTGGCTGACGCCTGCACCACTGCCCTGTTCTATTTTTATATATATGTGTATATATATATTTATATATATATATTCTGAGCTATTTAAACCACCAATTTCTCTGGCTAAGGCCATGAAAGTATTTAATAAAAGACTCCAGCTAAACAAATTGTAAAGATGCCAGCAGGTGATTAAAATGTCAGTGTTTGCGCATTTATCATGTAAGTGTGCTTACGCTTAAGCCTGCTAATTTGAACAGTAAGGACTTTTCATGAGTCTCATCTCCCTTGTGTCTAACTGCTTTGAAAACGTTAGTGAAGTTAGTTTCTTAATATTACTCTTAAGCAGAGTAGTTCTGAGTCTAGGCAAATCTAGGTGTAGAGTAAGAGATTAATGGCTTCATTTTAAAGCTTTCTCTTAGCACACACAGCTCCAAGGAGCTTGTATAGAAGGTGCAGACGTTTGGCACCTGGTAAAGAATATTGCCACGAGGATCCTGCTTTCACTGTAACTTACCGCATGCACAAAAGCATCCATTAGCATTTGTAGGACTTATGTGGGTTTCGACAAGGAGAACTCCCTTATGCTTATTCCCTTGAGTTGTGGGCAAATTTAGTATTCTACATAGAAAATATTGCAAGAATCAACATTAGCATTAATCTTAATCATCACTATGTAGCCAAATTTTGCTAGCCTTTGTTGCTTTGCTGAGCACAGACCCAAGGAAATTGCATCAATAGTTTTAAGGGGACGATTTTGAAAGAAAAATGCTATTTAATGTTAGCATAAGTGAAGGGAGGCTATCCACAGTCACCTAAGACTTATAAAGAATTGCTATTTCATTTTTTAAACTGGTTTCTCTAAACAATGCTTTACAGGAAAGATACCAGATGGAAAGATCTCCTTAAAAAGCTTAATTTTTATCCACCATACTAGTAAGAAAGAGAATGTATGATCCAAAATAAGAGCAACAATAGAAAGGCCAAAAAATGTATGAGGAGAGGGAAGAAAATGAAAACAAAATAATTTGGGAACAGGGATACCTGGTGGCTGGTTAAACTAGGTCTACTGAAGTGCTGCATTAATGCACAGTTATATATTCTGATGGTGCCTCACAGAAAATTTTCAAAAAGCTTCTGCTTATGGACAGTTCTGCTTGTAAAGCAGAAGACACTGCACAGTAGGCACGCATGCTTTGTTGTTGGATTTTTGGACTTGATTCTGAATTCAGTAATAATAAAAATACATAAAGATAGCACTAAAATTAAGGTAGCTAAGCTTCATTTAATTCAGTACTTTGCTCCTTACATAAAGTCACAGCCCTTGCTGAGTAATAAGCAGGCCTCAGAAAATTATAGTAAAGATACGCTTAGGTTAATCTTTTGGCTATGCTCTGTTTTGAGCCATTTTAACAATGTTATAGACCCATAGCATTAAATGCTTAGGCTGTATATTTTGGGTCCCAATCAACACTTGAGCCATTCTGTTATTCAAGTGATTGAATAATTATGCACACATATCCAGTGAAGGCTTACTTGTTGAGTATTTGGCTGGCATAAACAGTAATCCTGTCCAAATGGTACCTAAAGAATTGCTTTGGAACATGGCTCTTAAAACGGCCAGTACGTATTGAACGGCAGTTCAATAATGCAAAAGGTAGCCTTCTCTTGGACCGAGTGGGTGAGACAAAGAGACCATTAGTCTTTCAGACCAAGAAGAGAAATAAGACCAAAAAATCCTCGTGTTCAGTCTATTCTGATTTTCTTTGTATCTTTATCCATATCATTTGACCTTGGTGCATTAATTTTCCTTTTCTAAGATGAGAGCTATTACCAGCCTATTCAACAGGCAGAGTTTATGAGCTCAGCTGGTCCCATAAAAGGTTTTAACTGCTTAAACTTTAAGAGAGAAAAGCAAAAATATAGAATGTGGAATGCCAAAGCTGACCAGCTGATAAAAAACGCAGGCTGCAGCATGGAGTACTTTGCAGCTACTGTCCTACAAAAACCATTTCTGCTTCAAAACAGCAAATAATTCCCAGGAGACAAGCACAGCGTCCATAAACAGCAGCTTGAATCCATTAGGTTGTCTTTCTGAATGTAAACATTTTCTGCCTTTAAATGCCTAAAAAGAACTACAATACTTTCTGTAAGCAGAATAAAATGCGAACCTGACACAGAAAGAATGGTGGCTGTTATTATGTAGCATATTTTATATGTGGAATCTGGAGGGTTCCAGTTTTGGAGAATACAACTATACATAAAACAAATCCCCCCAAGAAAGAAAAGAGTTAGCCAGGGTAGTCACAAGGAGTAAGATTGTTCCTGTACCATGGCTGATTTTCAAAGTTTTGGTCAAACACCGAAACTATATCAATGCCAATCTTCAGTCTTAAAGACCTCCTATTTATTGCATGTAACTGAATGTCTCCTCTACTACTTTATGAGAAAAATCTCCGCATTAATGTACACAGCAGCTTCAAGGTACTGCTCTGAATACATTGGCTCATTCCTGCATATATTTATATACGAAAGCACGCTCTATAAAGAAAAAATTCCATGCAAAGGAACAATCCCAGCAGCTCAACTAACAGCAACAGGGCAAAACAACAAAAATCTGTACAAGATCATGAAATTGGAATAAATTCTGACTCCGTGACAGCCAGACATGCTACGTGGAAATCCACAGTGAAACACCACAAATCACAATCTCGTTAAGACCATATTCTTAAGTTGGACCTGCAGCATCAACTCTGATATTCTTGAATCTCAATATAAAAAGTATTTCCACCTCCACACTCCACCCACCTGCCCCAGCCAAAGGTCTCTCCTTTGTACATACCATCTTCGTCTAGCTTACTACCTCTCCAGATAACCTGAAGACTGGTACTCCTCAAAGTCTGCCACTGACATAGCACGCAAAAAATTGTGGTACACTTTGTGCAAAGGCATCATATATAACAAAAATTGTAGGTGTCGCAAGCACCTTCTCTCAGCACCCTGCTCTCATCTGGCACTGCTCAGCTGCAAAAGACGCCACGTGGGTGAGAACTGCTGGACTTGGTGAGGATTCACACAGTCACTGCTTTGCTGGGAGCAGAAGGAATCCTAAATCTATGCAGTGAGTGGTGGGGGTTTTGATGCGAATGGGACACGGTTTTTTGAGCACTAGGATTAGCTTTTCTGATAAGTTTTTTCTCTAGGAATGCCCTTGAGTTTATGCTGGTCTTACGACTGTGTTTACTTACTGCCTACTAATACGTTTTGGAAACTGAGGACAGGAGTGCTTAAAAAATTTCTTTATTCCCAGTGAGGCATTGATATTATAAGACTTTAGGCTGTACTTCTGGGATTTTTTTTTTTTTTAACTCAGAAAGCAGGGTCTAAATCCTCTTATATTATATGACATGTGGCATAACTGACCTGAGAAGCAAAGAATTGTTTTTATTATTTCGGATACAAAGTGCTGGGGAGGTATGAAGTATCATGACCCTCTGAATCACATTATTTTCTGAGGATCAGACCGGGATAATCTGGGGAGCTTGTATGTAACTTATGAACTGGAGCTTGATTTAATAACTGTCTACATCCTTGTTTTTCCTGTGTTGTTACTGCATGCTACTTATACAAGTGACAGTGGGATGGACTGGAGGACGGCAGTCTCTAAAAATTTATTGAAGTCAGAGAGCCAGACCCAGAATGCAATTGCTCTCACTAGGGAAGTGTAATAATTTGAAAGTACAGAGTCCTCATTAACGCTTCTCCTGTGTTTTTTCATTTTGTTACCCTCTGAATCTTGCATCTCTTTCCAGAGGAGAGAGAATAGGAACGACCCTACTCAGCGCATTTTGGTGACGGAAAGAGTTTCAGAGTGGGGAGGGCACGGAATACACCATGCTTAAGCTCCCGAGGGTGAGATTTAAGAGTACATCCTTGGGCTTAGCTAGCTTCCTACACTATATGTGAAAATTGCCACTCTGAGATTTGTAAACTTCCCATGCATTGTCAGAAGCTGAAATGCATTTTGGATGCCACTCTGAAAGCCAAGCAGTAAAAGTTGAGGAACTGCAAGCCTGGCAGTGAGCCAGCATACTCCTTGGTCTCAGCGCACTCTGAGTCTAGATAGCAATGAGCTGCAGCAGGAGTGAAAGGCTGAGCGCATGAGGGTTTCCAACCAGAGCTGAAGGATAACAAAAAATGAAGAAAGCAAATAGCAGAGCTACTGGGGTCATTTTTCCTTACATCAGAGTATCTCTTACGTGTTCTAAAATATTAAAATCTTAGTCTATGTGGACTTTCTTATCCATCAGCTACTGCTGAAGAACTAAATTACACACATGACAGGAAAGGGTGTGTTTAGCATTTGGATCTACTGTTAATGCTGGCTCTAGTCACTGAGTATTGGCAACTCATCTTTAAGGGGAGTGGTTCTAGAACAGTCACCCAAACTATGCTTAAAAGAGTCCTCTGAGATCTGTTTAAATTAAAAGCATAGACATCCAAAGAAGTTAAATGAATGCCCAGTATGAGAAACAACCAGCACTCTGAGAAAATCATTGGACAACAATAGGTAAGTGTGTCTTTATTCTTTGTATTCATGCTTCTTTGCGCTTTTATTCTCTCATCTAAGCATTCAGCACTTCTTGAATCACTATTAAATTTATCGCAAAATCATATTTCTTTAAAATCTTTTCTAAAGTTATATCAGAAAGGTATCCCATTGAACCCAGATTGTTTTGCGGTTGTTTTTACTGAAAAAAAACCAAACATTTTAAACAGGCACATTGAGGATTTCACTCATAAATTAGAATATAAAAAAATATGGAGTGCAATTATAGAAAAAGAGATAAACCCAATCAGAATAACTGTAAGAGAAGAGAACAGGATTGTCCTTTATCTTACTCCAATTTACTTCATTGAAGTCAGGGAAATCTGAACACTGTAATGAAATGATGAATCAGACCTACTGCCTTTCTCCATTGCAAATTTAATGTTACGGAAAATGACATTAAAGTATAATATCCATACTTTAGGGCTTACCAGAAAATGACTCATGATAAACAGAGTGCATTTTTTGAAATGGCATTAAAAAATAAATTTAACTTCTCTCTCAGACTACTTCAGTATTTCAAGGTATAATTTAAGAACACATCCTTCATTGCTTTCAATAATTCTTTCTTCGGAGTGGGAATTCAGAACTTTAATAGTAACTTTCACATTCATGCATAAAGTTATGAAGGAAACTTGAAGTAAAAATGAGTATTTCTGAATACAGAAATAAGGTAACATAAGGCAAGACATGTTTTCCTTTCTTAAATTACCTTTGAGTAAGGCAATTTAAGTGACATGAAGGATATTTTAGCTTTAAGAAACTGAACTTAATTTACAGAGTATTAACTGTGTCAATCTTTCTTTGTTATAAATGACCATTTAGGTGCATATTGAAAACATTTTTATTGGCTTAAACCTGTGCAAGTTCTTTCAGAGAATTTACTAAATCAAAGAAAAAGAACTATTACTGGACTTAGAAACAATGAATGTAACTGGGAGGACTGCCTGCGAGACATCAGTTTGCCTTGGACGTGCCAAATGAAGCAATAACAGCGTCTTCTTTTCCAAAATTACAAAATCAAGTATCTTACTTTGCACTTGCTACCTTCAAAATACGTATCTCCAAGATTTAGAGAGTTTAGTTCTTTTATTAAGCTTCTGCCATAATTTAAAAGGAAAAGACTTGGATGAACTATTTGACAATTTTTTTATTTCAGAAAAAATACTCTGAAATCAATATGCATTAATGTCAGCCAAACAGCAGTTACGATTTTCTTTCTGCCATTGTTAATGTCTATTTCAGAAATATTTTACCCTTGATTTTTTATTTCCTTTTCTTTTAAATTTCAAATTTATTAACCTTGAAAATGAAATCCCTTTCAGCACTGTACAGTCACAGATCAGTTGGCTCATTCGTGCAGTGCTGGAGCAGTAGGAATGGAAAGCAATCAGTGCAAAAAGTTGCAGAGGTCTTTCCATCACTCCACTGCCAAAAGCCACTGTCCTACGTAATGTGCTGAAGAAGCATCTGCAGCTGATGAGAGTTTCTCTGAAGGTCAGATCTCTTCCTATAGGGGAAACGTGGGAAACCTCTGCAACAACAGAACAAACCACGCAGAGGCGTGGGATGACAGAAGCACCTCTGCAGGTTACTAGTCTCTTTGTCCTTCCCTCCTGCCCATAGCCCTAACCTACCCCAAGAGCAGCATTTGAATGGTGTGCTCACCCTTGTATATTGTGCCTGTATCCCCACATGAGCTACACAGATTTTAAAAAGAGAGGACAAAGCAAGAGAAGAAATTGCCATGAAAATATATTGCAACAACTAAACTCATATTTGGAACCATTTCTCATTTTAGTTCTTAAAATCAAAAAGTGTCTCTAGACTACGCTGTTCTAACTAAAATCATCGTTGGTCCAAGACACATCATTACAAACACATGAACTGAACATAGGGAGCTATCCTCAAGCACAATGGCTTCAGCACTTTGCAGTTACTCTTAACTTCAATGTTTAAAGAATTATCCCTTTCACTGAAGATCCTGTACTGACTGATCTGGCAAGCAATGCCACCTGCCGCTTCTCTTGCTCTTCTGCAGCACTAGCAAGTGTCCACCTGAACCAACAGAACTCCTATTTCTGCTTTTCTTGGCCTATACACAATTCTTCTGGGCTTATTTCTTTTTATTTCCATAAGCATTCCATATGTCATTCTAAAAAGAGAAAACACATCCCTCCTGGACTTGGGTGTAAGGTAATAAAGCATAACCTGCTCCTTTCCAGTATTACAGGGTTTCCTTTTGTGAACCTCACTCTCACCAATACCATGCAAGCTCGGTGCCACAAAAGGGAGGATGTAAGAAGCAAGAGCTGTTGCAGATCACCTAACAGCAGCCTGGCAATTGGACTCTGTGCTGTGGGAACTAACAGCAGTACTGCCACACACCCCCAGAAAGAGATCTGTTTGCTGGTACAGAATATGTGCCTGACTGGAAAGGGTGCTGAAGTAACACATTTTTAACATTCAAAGCTGCATGTTAGTAGTTACAGAAAACCTGCAGTGTTGCTCTATGTAGACTTACCATCCTCAGAGTTATTGCCTGACTTGAAATGTGGAGTGAATTTTGCTTAATTATAAATCTGAATAATGCACCTTTGACAATGTACATTTTGTCAGCACTGTAAATGATTTCAGATGAAACTGAAAAAACTGTGATAGTATTTTCCATTCTTTCAGGAACATAAGAAATGCAATCAAACACTGAATAATTTTTGGTTTCCTTTCATTCTGTTCCCCATTCTAGGTTTACAATGTCTGCAAATCTGTCTTTGGATACTTAAAAGAAGCTTTGCTATCACCTGCCTCCTATTATTAGAATTTTCTGAAACCAGTCCTTACCTTGCCATGGACACTTTCAAAAATGCCTCTCTTTTTCCTTTGATATTAATTAATTGGAAAATACTTTTCCAAGTGACAAGAACTCCCCAGATAACATGGAGATGTCAGACAGCACTCAGATACTGAAATATACTGAATAGCGCAGCTAACATATTCACTCATTTGATTGCAGATACTGGGCAAGACACAAATCTTTGAATTCTGCCTAAATTTTTTGATTACTGTATGAAAAGTAGATTGCAAATGTAAGTGCTTAGTACATTTCCCATACAGAATAGCCCTTTTTAGTTACCTAATTCATACACTTGATGAATTATGATGATTATTTTATTTCAGTATAAAAATCACAGCCATGCTAATCAAAAGTATTTAGTTAATAATAAAATAGGAGACAAAAGCCACTGGAATGACAACATAGCTAAAGAGTTCTGTGAAAAATGTAATACTATTTAAAAAGATGTCAAATGTTTGATTTTTTTTTTTTTAAACACCTTTCTTGATGTCAGTCAATATTAATCTCTAATTGATGAAATAAATGCTACTGGTGTTCCTCTTTGAAATGAATGGACACAAAATGTTCAAAAGGAATCCTTTGCAGACTTCACACGTGGCCACATCAGAAGCCTTAAGAAGTTAAACAACATCAGAGTAAGAGCGTTAATACTGGCCTAAAGTAGCGGCATTGATCTGTTGAGACTGAAACGCAGAGCAAGCATCAGAGAAAACTATGCCAAAATTATTTCCTTTTTGAAAGATATGATTATTTAATAAAATAAGAATATTCTGTGAGAATTGATTGGGAAGTCCTTCTTAATTATAAATTACATATATTACAATATTCTAAACATTAAAATTTTGTTACAGAAATATCACGATGTCTGCCAGAAAATGAATAATAAATTGTTATTCTTCTAGACAGTAGCATCAACCTACAACTACAGAAAGTGAGGCATAGTAGTTAAGATTTCTGTTTTCTGAAGTGACTGTTGATTGTAGATGTTCAATATGAGAAAGTTATACAAACTTTCAAAGTTTCAAAGTTGTTAGTTTTTCAAAGTTCTGAAAACCTAAAGGTTTCTTTAATCAAGCCTATTTGCTATTCAGTCTCTGAAAATGAATCCTAAGAGTTTTGCTCACATTCGCCAACAGACTCAGTGAAGGAGTCATGAAATCCCATTTCACAGCACAGTCAGGTCTTTCTGAACCCGTGTGCCAAAAAGCTATGCTTTAAAATGTTATAGGGTCCTTTGAGAGCAGTTAGCAGAGGCTGCCTTGGAAAGCCAAAGTGGCAGAGCGCTTAGAAGGCTCTACAAAGCTGGGTGCCCACGCTTCGGAGACACAGCCAGAGAGATAAAATTATAGAAATGTAATCTGCTATTACAACCATGGATAAACAAGGTGTCAAATTGATTGCAGTACAACATTTTGAAGCTAGAAACAGTACAGAACTGGCTTGCCACCATTTTTAGTCACCACTTATCTGAATCAAGTCACACTAATTAGGTAACACTGCTGCATCAGCAGGGATGTTTTGAATGATCATCACTTTTTTTCTGACTTTTTTTTTTTTCTTTAAAAACTTGACTTCATTCTCCTTGCTCCTAATTTGCTAATTTACTTCATCCCAGGCAAAATGCTGGACTTTAATTATCCAGCGGTCCTGATATAAATAGAGAACAAAGAAGGGCATGACGTTCTTAACAGATGCACAGGGCAATTATCCTAGAACCTCCTCCGGCTTGTTCTATGCCTTGTGTTTTTATAATATTGTATGCTATTCAGTATTGTAATTGCTTTTCTTTAATGGGACCTCTTTCACAAAGACATAAAGAGGATCTATTAAATAAAATTGTTCTGGTTGCATGGGAATAGTCACATGCAAATATTTTTTTCTTTCTCCTGTTTTTCCCTTGACAGAGAGATCAGAAGTTGAGGAAAGCTGGATAATTCCTCAGATTCTCAAGCCATTTGAGGGCTGTGAATTTTTCCAGCCCCTATTCTGAGTAAGCCACCTGTCCATTTCAGTTGGCCAGTTGTTCAGCAACCCTTCCACCAGGCAGGCACCACTCCTCTAGCGGTCCCTTCCCTAGCAGCACTCTCCCTAGGAATCAGACCCCTGCTCTCCCAGGAAGCCTTTAGCAGTCTGAAACTTTTGATTTCAGCTTCTTTATAGACTCTCCATTCTTTTGACTTCCATATGTATCATGCTTTCAGAAAGCTTTCATTTTATTTTGCTTTTGTTTTACTTCCTAATGTAGACTGAAAAAGGAGGACAGCAATATTAAAGAGATTTTAAGAAGGTATTTCATTGTTTCTGAGTGGGAAGTAATTTAAGGAAAAATTATTTTCACTTTCCTCACAGTTCCATATTCAAAAGAGGGTTCCACATTCAAATGAAGGCTCTGTAGAAAAACGTGTGAATTCTTTAGCTGAATCATACCGTTTTTAAACAGTGGAATCGACACCCACGCCAAAAAACAAAAAAAATCCCTCAGCATTGTGAAATTATGAATCATGAGTTAGAGCTTTCATCCAGTAGTTAATAATGTTATTTATTAGAGTTTGCTTTAGACCGCAATGAAACTGCAAACCAGTTTCATTTAGATGGGCCAGAGGACACCTTGATTAGATTAGAGTAAACTCATGAAGGACTATTAGGCTGAATACTTTTTAACAATTAGGCTGAATACTTTTTAACAATAAACACCTTTATGGTAACCTTAGACTTCATGCTTTCTTGAGGATAATGAACAGTCCAAATCAGTTTTCTTTTTTCTATTATAGTATACAAGTTTATTGAACGGGATATAGAGTATCCCTCAGTGAAGCAACTGGTTTCCGTGGATACCACTAAGATTATATTTCAGAATATTTTTTCTTGTGATACAAAAGCTTAGAGGAGCTCTATTTGCCTTATTAAGAAAAAAATATTGTCTTCAGTATTCTTGAAGATGTCCAATATTCAGATAAAGGAAAAGCAAAAGTAGTAATCAAAGACAGGGAGTATTCAAAGGCAAAAAGTCTTATGAAGACTGTTGGTCTTTTAGTTTAAGATACTTACAGTAACAGCCACAATAAAAGTTTTTAATGTGAACATGGACAGAGAGGATGTGTGCAATTGTAATTATTTTAAAATTATAATATGGTTTTAAGAGCTTTCCTTCATGCATTTAAAATATCTTTTCTATCTTGTTAAAATCCAGAACAATATTCTACATGATAGATCTACTTTTCTTGACTAAGGTGTACATTGACATGTTGACTATGAAAGAGTTTAAAAAAAAAAAGCCAAAAAACTGAGGGAGGAACAAAAACTAAAAATTCCAAATCAGTGTATTTCTTTTTCTACATAAAGCTGACATTAAAATTCTTTAACGTCTTCTATCCAAGAGCCAAGTCAACAAATGCTTTAATCACAACATTCTGGAGTAGAAAATTTCTGTATGCAAGACTTGATTAAAAACAGGATTTAAAAAAGATTAGTTAGCAATGGATGGTTTTTATACTGAAAACAAGAAATCATATATTTTTCTATTCTGTCTTCCAATAATTAGGTGTCCCAGCCAAACTTTTGTCATTACTTTACTTTATAGTACATAGACTCCCTCATATTTCTGCATTTCATTATTATTCCAAGAGAGAAATATTTCTTCGGATACAAGTCTAACTATGATCTTTCAATGATTCTGTTACCATGGTTTCACTTACTAAAGTCTTTCCTTCATTAGCTGTCTTGCAGTAACCTCTACTTTTATCAAAATTGTTAAACCATAGGCCTTCGCCCCATAAAGAGTAATAAATATTCTAGTGACGTATACAATTTCCTACATGTTTTTGAATCCAAACAGCAGACTCTAGAATTTTACATAGGTCTCAGAAGAAATTCTGTTTTTTGGTTCCCAGTGAGTCACTGGAAAACTAGGCTTCATCTCAACATGCAAAAAAAATCCTACTTGAAAGACTTACATTAAGCATTGAGGTAGAAACTTTTGGCTTTGCAAAAGTTCACATCCTATTATTATAATTTTTATTATTGTTTTATTCTAATGAATTTGATTCACATTCAAAGCTTACTATGTTGCCATTAAATCCCCTACATGTTTAAAGAACACATTTCTGCCCATTTTGTGTTTGTTCAAGACGACTGCAATGTTAAAGTATATTTGTGATTTTATCTATAGAAGTAAATTTCTCTAGTTTACCTCTTT